CGGATATTGTAGGGCTGTAGGATCCGTGAGATGGTCTCAGAAGTACCCTTAACGTAAGGTATAGTTACACGAGTCTTTCAGCCAATACCATCATGGCTAAACTGACCAATCATGTTCCACGGACCAGACTTATAACATCATCGACTGACAAAAAACTATTCACTTGACTCTGAAGATGACTTCCACTCAGGTTGTCGAAACGTCAGTCACCAAAAACAGTTCTTTTCAGAACTACCCTCACCCGGACGATCACACTATACGAACTAACCTTTATTACATTCGCTAAACATTGGAAAGTTATCGTTAAACACAGCGTTGAATCGCTTCGCCTTCAGCACATGAAGTTTGGACTACTTGCACACTTTTCGTCTTTTCAGCCGTTTACTTTCGTGATGACCGATTCCACCTACGAATCACTGCATTTCCCCGTCAAAATACTTTTGAGTTAATTAGTTTGCTTTTTGCCTTTCATTGATAACCTTTCCTTTCTTAAAACTTTCTTAGCATGAAATGTTTTCGTCCCTATGCGGATTTCGTGTGCGGCGCGGAGTCTGTGCTTTCATTCTTCCAGTTGCTGTGATTGTTGATGAGAATAAGCAACTTGATCAAGAAAGCACAATGAATTTTCCTCGCATTGACAGACGTTTTCTATAGTTATTTCATAAAAGCGATAGACCACGCTTTCCATGGGTTCACCGGCACAATAAAGCACTTGGGATGCCGGGAGAACACTCGAAAAGCTTGTAAATCACGAGCCGTTAGGCGAGTGATTTACTAGCTTTTCAACATCCCGGTGGTTTATTGCGCCAGTGCACAATTAGAAAGAGTGGTCTATTGCTTAAATAGAAACACGATTTTTAACCAATCAGCGCGCGTATTTTCTTAGGACTGTTTTCTAAAAAGAGATTTCGTTCGTGATGGCTCAATAGGAATTAGATAGGACTAGCGCGCGCGCTATGCTATAATACATTTGGGTAGAATATCATTGCTTTGAAAGATTCCATTCATGCAAATAATCAAATTCCGGATAAAAAATACTACCATGAGGTTTAAAGTTTATTTTTAACTTGCAGCTGTTAAGGTAAGTCACCTGGTAGCTACCGCATCTTACTCAGTAAAGGCGACGCTAACTGGTGGAGATTTGCTATAGTAGTAATAGCAGTAGTTGATCTGGTGTTTTATAATATGCATTGCTTATTGTTACTTCTTTAAGCTACATCTACCAACACGACTTTACAAGCAGCATCACGTTAAACTTTATCATGAAAAAAAAAAAAAAAATGAATTACATCAGTTATTCCATCCGTCCGGTCAGTCAGTCAGACAGTCAGGCCGTCCGACCGTCCGTTTCTCAGTCAATCAACCGTGTATTTACCTTTATTTTCTGCAATGAGATTGAGAACTCGCTCAAATTCCTAGAGGAGAACAAAATGCACACGTTTACCTCTTCTGTAATATAGTACAAGAAAGTTTTAAGGAGTTTGTCGCCAAATGGAAACTATAGAATCTTGAACTGTGCACATCGGCGACCTAATACGGGGTTCGTACAAAAGAACACCAGACAGACCCCTCGCAAATAACGAACATTTACATCTGCGTTACGCAACAACCACACGAGACACTGATCAAAATATTACCATAATTATCATCAGAAGTAAATATGTCAGGTACTATTGAATTAGTTTACTACTCGTTTGCATCAGGTTTGTGGCATTATTGCAAAGTTTTTTTTTTTTACTTCTTTTTTTCTTTACCGCACTTTAAATGCTTCAGCTTGTATACACATTAGTAGAATCGTACTGCCGTACTGCATTTAAGCTGTGTAACGATCGCTAACTTGATGACTACCCTACACAATGTAGCTGCTGATACAAATTTTCACTCACGACGGCAAATAGTGTGTTAAAAGATTGTCGCAGAGCTACACGATGCCTAGAAAAATTGACATAAAATACACCCCTAACCTCAAAGTAG